TTATAAGAGAATGTGTGAAACATCAGTCAGCAGACACTCATAAGCCAAGAGGAAAACTTGGCCCTGCAATTAAAAGATAGGCAAGTGAATGAATAATTCTGTGATTTAGGGTAAGTGTAAATATGTTTATGTTTGGTTTTCACTGATTCTTCTCTTTATTTTGCAATTTATTCACCCATTACTGTTCCCTGTCCTTTCAAAGGAGACTTCTATATACTTGCCTCAGGGTCATGATAGAATAAAAGAGGACAGTAAACACAGGTGCAAGTCTTCAAATGAATTGAATGACAATGTTCAAATTGTGAAAGGTGACTCCTAGCACAATAGCATTATGCAAAAACAGGCTTTTGAGTTGAGGATAGGTGAAAGGAATATATCCTTAACATTGTTTTTCTGCAAAGCTTTAGTTTCTATAAATCAGAAGCAGCATAACATAGAATAAAGAATACAGACTTTGAAATGTTTCGATATAGCTTCAACACCTTAACTAATTGTTCTTGGTAAAGTCTCTTGAGTCTCTGTTTCCTCAAATTAAGATAGCATATTAATATCCATATCAAGTAGTTGTTAGGGAATATACAATGTTGGGTACATAGTAAATTATGAAAGGATTGTTATTCATTTTTCTCCTTTTCATGGGACTATTCAAAAGTAAAAGATGTTAATTAAGAAAGTAGATAGGCCATGAAACATTTACTATCTGTATTTTGACTCTAAGAACTATTCTTGACACATTGGAAGCAAATTTGTAGGTTGAGACAAATAATGTCAAGAGTCTCTGGTATTTTGAATTTTTTTTCTTTTATTGATGCATTATAGTTGTACATAGTAGTTGGGTTCATTTTGACATAACTATATATGCATGGAATTTAATTTACTCCATTGATCCCTAATGCCCACCCTCTTTGCCTTCCTCCTTACCCATATTTCCATTCTACTTTACTGGTCTACTTTCCATTTATTTATTTATTTTAAATTGGTAGTATATATACACACACACACACAAACACACATAAAGGTAGAATTCACTGTAATATATTTATGTGTGCACATAGAGTAATTTTGTCAAATTTATTCTGCACTTTTTTTTGTCCCTTCTACACTGTTGATATTCCTTCTACCTTTGAAAAACTTTAAATTTGACCAAAAGTAGAAAGAGTTGGCTATGAATGGAAGTACTTAATTGTAACAATTTTTTTGTACAACATTGTCCATCTTCCTCTACAAATGACAGGCTCAATCCAATCTAATTTTGAGATTTGCTAATTTATCATTCCATGCTATAAAAATAATTTTCATTTTCAATAAACAGAATCTGAAAGACTTATTATTCTTAGTCCACTAAATGTAATTCTTTTGTTTTCAGATGTTTAGGAGAATTGATAATAAGTGCACTCTTTATTCTGAAGTCTATTCAGGGTGGGAATGGTAACAAAGTTTTTGAACACTATCTATAGCCTATAATAAGTAAAAAGTATACTCAAAGCACTAAAAGATATATTTTGCCCTTAGAATGCTTTAAAGGCTAATTGAAAAGAGAAAATATTAGTAAATGGAATGATGAAATGAATGATAAGAATTTTGGCACAGTTGCATGTAATTTGGGAACTAGGAAGGAGAAGAAACTGGAAAAGTCAAAAATAGAAGCAGCAAGAAGAATTCTTGATAATTTTAAAATTTCAAGATAACTTTAATAAATTATATATGGATGATAAGGCCAAAACTGTACTTAAATGCAAGAATTGTCTATGTTGTATATATCCTAATCCTGTGTTTTTTTAAAAAAACGTGTGTGTAACACAATATTACCTTTTTAACAAATGACTGCTTGTTTTCTTGATATTACGAAAACTTCCCTAGGAAGTTCTAGATAGTACAATGCAATTGTATTTGTATTTAAAAAGTATTTGTTAGATCTTATTATATGTTAGGCCTCACCCTAGTCTCATATTTATATTAATTCACTCATACTTAGTTAACAAGTATTCATTTTCAAGCTGGCAAAAGCAAATCAAATCATTTTTTTTTCAGCTCATGTTTAAAATGTACCATATTGTTATGGTTTAGCAGACTTTAAATTTTAGCTTAAGATTTTCGTGAGCCATTCAGCTACTCATCAAATTGATTATATAGAACTAAATTTTATATATGAGTTTAAGCTTTAAAACTAAGATTTAGCTTTGCTACTAGTTGTGATTATAGGGTTAAAATTTTTGACATTTTTATACCTCCACAAGAAAACTTTTAGCAAAGTATCTTGAGATTCTTTATTTACTAACCATGCCACATTCCCATTAGTTAACATCACTAGTATTTACAAAGTACCTGCTGGTTTTAAAAACATATAAATAGGAAATAGATTAATTTACAGAATACCATAAGAACCATACCAAATCTAAAATTAAAGCCCTTTGAAGATTTGTAGAATGTAATTGTACTGACAAATAGAAGCTATATGGAACCAACCAGTCCCCATCTTCAGCTACCTTACCCTGCCAAGTGCCAGAGACACTTAAAATTGTATTTGTAGTTTAGACATTTTCAGATTGGTTTCTAAAGGGTCCTAAATTTCTAGGACCCTTTGAGATTGGAACACCCAGTCTCAAACTATTTCCCCGCTTTCAGTCAAAGCATCTCTGATTTTATTTATGTGGGGTGGGGCAGGGAGGTGGGGAGTTCTAACTAATCTGTAACCAGTTTGGAAAAAATCACTGCTCAATGTGAAAGATCCTGAGCTTACTTCTCTACACAAATGCCTCCAAAGTCAAGGTTTTTATGATAATAGCCTCTGTGGGGAAGTAGAGACTGAGGGATACTGAGGCAATATATTTATTGTGGTCAGTGGCCCCCAATTTGTAGAAAGTGTGCCTTCTTCCAGCTTCACAACTTGGAAGAACTTGGAGAGAAGTCAGAGGACAATTACAAAGACAGTTACAGAGATTCTGACCTCTTGAGAAAACTAAAATAATTTCATTGAAAAAAAGAAGTCTGAGGCAATTAAGTAATAAGTCTTCCAGACAATAAGAATCATTACACTGAGGTTAATAATCAGATTTCCTTCATGTGCAAACATAGTTTAAAAAAGGGATATATACCGAAGGGGAAGAAAAAAAAACATTTTAATGAATAATGGCTGAATACTAACCAATTCGAAGACATTATTATACACAATCAGGAAGCCTAATGAACAAAGAGATCCACATGGAGACACAATTCAGTCAAATAGTTGAAACTCAAAGAATTTAGAAACAAAAGACAAGTTACCCTCTCATCACAAAGGCTCCACCATAAAATTAACAACTGATTGCTCTTCAGAAACCATAGATGCCAAAGGGTAGTAGGATGGCATAAGTCCTGAAAGAAAAAGACACCAAAAATGACAAAACCATCTTTCAAGAATGAAGGACAAATTATTAGTAAAAGCTGAAGGAGCTCATCACCAGCAGTCCTACTCTACAAGAAATATCAAAGGGAGTTAGTTCTTCAGTCTGAGATGCAAAGACAGTAGGCAGTGAATTGAAGCCATAAGGAAAAATTAAAAACACTGGTAAAGGCAACTATATAGGTAAATGTAAAATCCAGTATTATTGTAATTTTGGTTTGGCTTGTAACTTAGCTCTTTACTGTATAATTTAGTAAGAAAATGTGTAAAATAATGATTCTAAGTTTGTAAATGGGAATACAATACACAAAGGTATATTCTGTGACAATAACTGTGTGAAGGGAAGGAAAGGGGGAAAGGGGGCGTGTGCAGCTTTAGCACAAAGAATGAAGTGTAGAACAACAAGAAAAAGCAGCAAATGCTGAGCCCAGTTAATCAAAGGAATACATCATTCAGGGTTCTCTTTATGAAGGTTTTTTTGAAGGCAGTATGAATTCCTATCAATGTTTTATGTATTAAACCACTACCTGAAGGAACAGGGATGAATTAAAAGAACTTGGTCCTTTTAACCTTGTGAATCAGTGATTTATCTTTAAGTTTTATCATAAGATAAAGATTTCAAGCACTTATTTTGAATTATAGCCTCATAGTCTGATGCTGCCAGGAGAGGAGCTACTTTCTAATAATGTTAAGGAAGTTAGTAGAAAAGAAGAACATCTATTCCAGGGGTCATGTACTCAAATACCTACAGGGACCCACAGATGTTATAAAAGAGTGAAGCTAAGAGCAGAATGATGTGGAGTTTGGGAAGTCTAGTGTATTAAAAAGTGAGTGACTGCCTAAAATGGGCAATTACTGCAGTCTTTGGCCAGTTGTTATTATGTCACAATGTGTCTAAATTGACAGATCTTTGGCTTTCTCAAAAAAAAAAAAAAAAAAAAAAACTGGAAATGTAGAATTTTACATGAAAAAAATGTCATATTGACCAAAAACTCAGTTTTATTAAAGTAGTGTGAAAGCAGAACTATATGCATGTACATTCTGTGAGTTGGAAACTTCAGTTTATCCTTTAGTTCATTAGTTAACCACCACAGTAATTAACAAACAAAATAGAACCGATTCAATTCCAAAGGTTAGAAGAGTTAATCTACTTAACAATTATAAGGTTTAATTAAGGTTCCTTCAAACTCTCTGAATCTTCAATCTCTGTTTCCTTCCTATACTGGGTAACTTGCTCCCAATATTGGGTTTCTTATTCACATAGGAGGGTGAGTATTTGAAGGAATTACTTACTTCCCTTAGCTATGTAATTTTATTTAGTAAAATCATCACATGCTCAGATCAAAAATCAGTTCATCCTGTTGCTATACTAGAGAGGCTATTGATTCTATCAGATATTTAGAAATGCACATGTATGTGGCATAGACTTGTTCCTTTGGATCTTTGAACTAACATTTGTGTATAACACTGGCTGCATGAGGCATGCTCAATTTAAAAATTGACTTACACACTTTTACCATTTGGTGACATCTTTTATGTCTCTTATAAAATGTTTTCCAATAACCCTCCTCCACCTGGAGTAAGGACAGCTGGATTTCTGAAATCCCCTTACTTTCAGACAGGAGAATATGCCACAGATGAAGAAGAGGATGAGGTAGGGCCTGTTCTTCCTGGTGGTGACATGGCCATTGAAGTCTTTGAGCTGCCTGAGAATGAGGACATGTTTTCTCCATCAGACCTGGACACAAGCAAGCTCAGTCACAAGTTTAAAGAGGTAAGCCACTGATCTGCAAAATATTTATATGTGTCTATTTCATTAGTTAGTGTATGTTTTTGTTCAAATAAAATATTAAGAATAATCAATTTCCCAATGAAACTTTTTAATAGAAGATTATATTAAGTCTCAAATTTCAAAGTAAAATTTAAGTAGATCTCATTTCATTATCACTGATTTAAATGCTTGATATTTGTCATAGTGGCAGCTTGCAATGTATCTAGCCCATAATTTCAAACTAGAGTGTGCAAATTCATGATACATTCTAGCTGTGTTTTTTTTTTTTTTTTTTCAGTTGTACAGATTTTTTTCCCCCAATGATGAGCTTTCCTCTAAGGCAGTGTTTCTAAAAAGGCTCTTTTTTTCTTTCTTTTCCTAAAATAGAGTCCTAATAAGAATCAGATGGCATACCCAAAGGGTTTAATTGAAGAGTTTAATGAACAGACTTTGAACAGAGTTGATAGAACTAACAAGGGATGGTGACATGCATAGGGACTGGCAACAGCAGGAAGCTGTCACCATGTTTTGGCTTAATGGGTAAAGAGAAGGAAAGAGATTCTCTTTTTGAAAGAGGGCCATTGAACACCTGCAGCTTTTTAAGATGCAGCCACTACTAAAAACTGCATTCTCTGGGCAAGTGTGATATATACCCATTTCCCAATGCTGTTTTCTTCCTTGGTGGGGAGCATCCCCACACCCTCACACAGTCACCTCCAGCAGTGGGAACTTGGGTAATACAAAGTCTGCGGAAGTCAGCTTCTGAGGAAAGGAGTGGTCAGAGAAGGGCCAGGAAAAGATCCTGAGTGGGTATATATGTATGTGATCACATAAACTCTTTTTTTAAATTAACCACTCAGAACCCCTGCAGGTAAAGTAGAAACTGTGATGAATAGGGCCTCAAGCAACTGATCTTTCATTGTTTGGGGGGAGCATCCTTCATTGTTGAAAATGAAGGTGCCATTATTTATCACCTCTTCCTTTCTTTTTTGTTTGTTTTTTCTTGTGATGCTGAGGGTTGAACTCAGGGCCTCATGCATGTTAGCAAATGCTTTACCACTGAACCATATTCCCAGCTCACCTCCTCATTTCTTATAAAGACCTTCTGTATTAACTGATATCTTCAAGTCAAAGAGCACTGGAGAAAAAGAAAAGTTCATAGGTAGTGGCTGAGTGAAGAATTATTATCTAGATGCATTTTTTTCTTATTTGTTCTAAGAATATAAGTTATCTAATGGAGTTTATAGAACATGTGTTCTTTAAGAAATCTCCCCTGAGCATCAATACAATTTTGACAAGTATTGGAGACAGTGACATATGGTAGTGTGCGCTGGTAAAAAAAAGCCTTTAATAGGGCTCTTTTATAATGTTGGGTGAGTCTGACCCTTAGTCACTAGTAGATAATGGAGTTGAAGAATGTTTCATATTCTTATATAGGAGCTACAGGGCCTAAAAATCAGAGATAGGATATGGAAAATTATACTCTGCATTTTCTGAATTGAGCCAAGGAATCGATGCTCCAAAAATATTGTATGCACCATTATATGGACAACTGTCTCATCTAGACCAGATTAGAGGTTAGCAAATATAACATTTGCCAAATCTGGTTTATTGCCTGTTTTTGTTTTTGTTTTTGTATTTGTTTTTTCTTTTTTTGTAGATAAAGTTTCATTTGAACACAATCATGCCCATTTCTTTAATATTTGTTTGTGGCCAATTCCATGCTTCAACAGACAAGTTGAATTGTTGCAGACTCTGTGTCCTATAAGTCCTAAATTATTTGCTCTCTGCCACTCAACAGAAAATTTTGATGACCTTGGTGTAGACAGCTTCATGATCAGGATCCATTTTGTATATTATGTCTGATTTATTTCTAGCCTGCTTAGCTGAACTTATAGTTTGCCATTAATTTTGGTGTATAAGAATTAGAGGTTTGTCTCAACCTTAAAAACAGGCAAATATTACATCATTTCATTTGTAATCCTTTTATTCTGTTTTGTTTTATATTTAGCTTAGTGCTGTTTTAATTTCTTCAGGAGATTGCTCTCAGAAACAATTGTGTTGCACTCTTTCATAACAATTCTATCTTGTATGCTGCCACTATCACAGTCTTAAAAGTTTATTTATGTAATTCACAGACATCCAAATACTGTATATAGTAGTATTTTTCAGAGGATTATGCACAGAAAAGGGTCATATTGTATTGGAGTCTTTGCAAAGTCTCATGTTACAGGGTTCTCTTAATTTTGTTTTAAGCAAAATTACCTGTTGTATTTCTTAGGCAAAGCTCATTAGGCTGACATATTCCCCATCAGTCCTGCTTTCGGCCTGTTACATATGTTCCTACTAGACCCTGAAGTGCTCTGTTTTTGCTCATGACTGTATCTTTACACAGTTCTTGGCATATAATTCGTGGTTAAATATTTCATGAATGAATGGTATCAGAAATGTACGGAAGAATCATTGTACAATGTACCTAATTTAATTTTTCCAAGTAGTTGACAAGCTAGTCAGCACTTAAATGCTCATTTGCCTGTTCCCCTCTGGTCAAAAAGCTGCATTATTGTCTACAGAATTTGTGTCTATAATTTTGGATTGCTTTGTGCCTTCCTACTGTGTTCCATTTTTTTCTCTTTTCTTCGGTGTAACATTTTTAGATTACATATGAGCATTGATGGAATAAATCCGATACATCTAATTTTCTCTTTTAAAATTCCTTTACTTTTTTTAGCTTACTCAAGAAAATGTTTGGATCCCTTCTTTAATTCCCTAATAATGATTTTCTTTGCATTTTTATTGTAATTAGATTAAACTAGTAAGTTAATTTGTGAAGAACTAACACTTTATCATATTGAATCTTTTAATCTAAAGTTTATGGATTTTATCTATTTAAGTCTTTTTTTTTTCTTGTTCCTTTCTTAAATTTTATGGCACCCTCTATTAGTTTCCTAAGTGTCCTGTGCTAAGTAACAGAAAATCTGACTACAGTATGTTAATCAAAAGCTGCTTAAAGATTGTTAGCCTCAATATAGATTAGTAAATTTTTCCTATTTTGCTAATTTCATAAATGACTTTTGTTTAAAAAAATGATTTATATAAGTGAAATTTCTATTCTCAAAAGTTTTCTATTACTCAAATATAAACCATCTGTGCATTTGTGGAGGAAGTTTTTAGATACTTTTTATGATAGCTATTACTCTGTTAAAGTTTTTAAATTTTGGGGTGCCAACTGTGATATTTTGCTTGGTTTTAAGAAATTTATATATTTAAATTTTTACATTTATGAACTTGTTTATATAAAATAATTTTGAAATATTATAACATGTGCATTCTAGTTACCCTTTTATAGGCTTTCTTTTCTTATTTGGGTAGTTTTGCTTCTTTCTTAGTTGTTTTCCAGAATTTTATCTGTCATGATTTGACATAACTAGTGGTTTCTTTTTAAATTAAAAAATAATTAATTTATTGTTTCCTTTCAATATCTTCATTTTTCTATCTTTCTTTTTGATGTTGTTGTTTTGATCAGTTGTAGCATCTTCCTTCCTTCCTTCCTTCCTTCCTTCCTTCCTTCCTTCCTTCCTTTCTTTCTTTCTCATTATTTTTTTGGTAATGGAGATTGAACCTAGGGGCACTACCACTGAGCCACATCCTCAGCCCATTTTTTATATTTTATTTAGACACAGGGTGTCACTGACTTGATCAGAGCCTCGCTAAGTTGCTAAGGTTTTCTCTGAACTCTCAATCCTCCTGCCTCAGTCTCCCAAGCCACTGAGATGCACCACTGGCATGGCATTAATTTTTAATAGGTTGTACATTCTGACAAGTATATTTTTTTCTGAATATTGCTTTCTCTACATGTCAGTTTTTTACATGTAGAATACCATTGTCATTTATGTCATGTCTTATTTCCTCTTCAACACAAGAATTATTCTGTGGGTTTTTTTCCCCCAGACATGTAGAACTTTATTTTGTTATGCTTTCTTATTGGCTCTTAACTTTCTTGCACACTATTCAGAAAATATATTTTATTTGTAATAGCTGTCTTTAGAATTTTTGAGATTTTTTTATAACTTGATTCATAAACAATTTTAATATTCCTTGTGTATGCAAATGGCACACATTTGTGTCTGGGTGCAAAGTTTGTATAGTTTTCATATATAAAAATAAAATTAATAGTGCAAACACATACACACATATCTTTTATAATATGGGTTAGACTTTGCTTGATCTACCAATTCAGAAAAGCGTATATTAAAATCAGCAGCTACCATTGTTTATTTCTTTCTATAATTTTATTGGTTGTACTTTTATGTGTTTTGAATCTTTGTTGTTAGCTTGCATATATGTTCAGGATTATTACAGTTTCTTGATTTATTTTAATATCTCTCCGTCCCCTATGAAGCATTTTGCACCAACTTCTGTTTCATTTGGTAGGAGAATTCAACACTGGCTTTCTTTTGCATTATATTTGCTTCACAGCATCTGTATTTTCCATCTCTTTATTTTCATTCCTTCCATATCTTCTGGTTCAAATATATTTCCTTTAGGCAACATGTTCCTCAATCCTACTTTTATTCTACTCTGGGAGTCTTTGTCAGTTAATTGGAGTGTAATTTATTTACATTTACTTTTATCATCTTAGTGTTAAGCTTATGCCTGTCTATTTCATATTTTCCACTTTCCAAGTTTTCTTCTGATTTTTAACTATTGCCCTTTGTATTAGATATGTCAAATTTTCATCTGTTGCTTCAAAGTTAATATTTTTATTTTATTACCCTGACTTATATTTACTTAGTCTTAAGTTATCTAGCAATATATAAAGCTGATCAAGTAACCATAGCATATCCTGCCTCTTCTCTATTTTTTTTGTATTTCAGGAATTTTCGTTAAGTATACTTATAGATGTGCCTTTTACAAAATGATTATTTCCAACTCACCTATGCTCCTTTTTATACTACTATAATGGGATTGCAGTGATGTTCTGGTATTAATTCACTAATATC